AAAAAAAAAAGATAAAAAAATAAAAACTTTGTCCGACCTACCGGAGGGGAGAAAAAGCAGTTTTTAACCCGTATTTAAAAGCGTTTACACTTGGAGCTTACTTCACTTCTCTTGGCAGCTTACGCCATTTCTATGCGGCACAACAGCTAAATGCTGTTTCACCACGTTTGATTTGAACTTTGGTGTCCACTAATTGACCCGAGTCTGCGGACCTCATAACCCTACTTGGCTTACCGTATTTATTCATGAGCATTTCTTCAATAATTAGGACCTAAACCATTGAGTGATTAATGGACAAAAAGCAGAACTTTAAAATCTGTTCTCTTGCTGACTGGGAGCTAGTGTAAAACCGTTGTTGTGGTCAGAACCTGTGACGCTCTTTCGAGGGACTCCAGTCAGAAAACCATTACAATAATTAAGTCTTCCAGAGATAAAAGTATGTACTGCAGTCTGATTGGTATCACATATGCCTGCAGTCTGAACGCAGCCATTGACACATCGAACAACTGAACGGTGGGTCAACTCAAATGCAAACAACCACAATGCATGTGCAGTATGTTCTATATCAAGCGAGCACATTGTAAACACACATTGTACCTGCTGCTAATCTGAACTGGGTTTCCAAATACCACTGCTCTTGTCTGTAGTGTATACTTATTTACACTCATGTGTGAATTTATTTTCATCAGGTTTTCACAAATAAAGCTCTCTAGTGAAAGCAAAAAAATTAACAGCTTATCAATTGCAATTCATAAATTTGACATGAAGACTGGTCAAAAATAACCCTGCGAGAAATTCAGAGTTAATCACAAAAAACACGACTAGAAATAAATCTGCAGACAGTTCATCAGTGGATGCAAAGATGTGCGAAGCTATCATGCAGTTATTTTTATATTTGCAGTAGAGTTGGATTAAAAAAAAAAAAAAAAAAAATGATTTTTCAGATTTTGGCCTGGCCGGTGGTCCTCTTTGAATGAAGGGCGTTCTCGCTTGTGTGTGTGTGTGTGTGTGTGTGCGTGTGTGTGTGTGTGTGTGTGTGTGTGTGTGTGTGTATATATATATACATATATGTATATGTGTGTGTATATATGTAAGGATTTGTGTGGCACAATTGACACATGCCTTCCCAGACCCCACCTACCCATTTTTTGTCATTTAGGGGGGAAAAAAGTTGATCAAACATTTATTTAAATGCAATTATGTACAGTACATTCTAATATGGTAATTGTGATGTTACTTTGTGAGTTAAGTTTTTTTTTTTTTTTTTTTTTTTGAGATGCTACTCTGTGTAAAAAATTGGTAACCCCTGTTCTGGAAATAAGGGAAATTTATGCAGGAAAAAAAAAAGGTGCGGTGGAGGTTTCACCACCGTAGTAATGTGGTGTGGTCATCCCCCACAGGCGACACGCTCATTGTGGAGGAGGAGAAAAACAAGGCCAAGCTGGGCACCCATCCCATCGTCACCAAAACGCCTCGCCTGAACGCTTTACCAACACTGGCGCGCCGCGTGGTGCCGGCCGACAACTCGTGCCTGTTCACCAGCGTCAACTACGTGGTGGAGGGCGGCGTGTATGACCCGGCGTGCGCCCCGGAGATGCGCGGCCTCATCGCCCAGATCGTCTCCAGTGACCCGGCAGCGTACTCTGAGGCTGTTCTGGGCAAGAGCAATGAGGACTACTGCGCCTGGATCCGGCGCGACGACACATGGGGGGGCGCCATCGAAGTGTCCATCCTGTCCAAGTTTTACCAGTGCGAGATTTGCGTGGTGGATACACAGACAGTGCGCGTGGATCGCTTTGGGGAAGACGCCGGCTACCGCAAGCGCGTGCTTCTCATCTACGACGGCATCCATTATGACCCGCTACAGAGGGAGGTGCCCAGCGCGCCCCCCCAGACCGTCTTCTCCACCGGCGATGACGTCATCCTGGCGCAGGCCCTGGAGCTGGCCGACGAGGCTCGCCGCAAGCGCCAATTCACGGACGTCAACCGCTTTGCGCTGCGGTGCATGGTGTGCCAGACGGGCCTGGTAGGACAGAAGGAGGCCCGCGAGCATGCCAAGGAGACGGGCCACACCAATTTTGGCGAAGTCTGAAACATTTACTTGCTTCTGTTTGTGTGCCACCCCTCCACGTTATGTGGCCGTCTACCTCGGTGTTTCCCGACCTTTATTGAACCAAGTTGCATATTTTAAAGAAAAAAAATTGTCTCATGGCACACCACCAAACATAAATAGCAAAAAATTATATATTAGGGCTGAACAATTTTGAAAATCATTGAATTGCTATTTCATTTGTGATTATTTTTTTCTAGGTCAGGCTTTATTATCCAAAAATGCTTTTGGTCTTATATGCTAAAATAAGGGTAGCCAGAATGAATAAGACACATATTGATCCACTTCAGTTAGAGTTCACTACGACAACTTCACAATTCTACCAAACAAGTGTGGCATAAACATATACAGTGTGTCTATATATATATATATATATATATATAAGATAAATGTCTATCTATCTTATCTATCTATCTATATCACGCCAAATGTTCATGTTTCACAAAACAGTAACTTGAACTGCATGGTGTGAATATTAAAATTGCATTATCTTACATTGCATTATTAGTTGGAATTTGATTAATTGTTCAGCCCTAGTATGTATGGTGTGTCCCCCACCGACGCATTTGCAATTTCACTTATTTGCCGATTTTGTTTGTTTTTATTTTTGGAGTGGGGCAAAATACTCGCTGATTCACATTTTTGTGCTCTTTCCGAAACACCATGAAGATGCCACAAGATGGCACCAAGCCCTGTCTAAAAAGTGTGCTTTGGCGCCATCTTGTGGCATCAAAAGGCAATCATAAACCTCTTGATGGGGGGGCGGGGGATTACTTGCGTTATTCTGTTGTATGAATGGCAACAGGATGACATGCAGGTTAATTGAACACCATCAGAAGAACATTTTATTGTTCTGTCTGTCACAATACATCACTGGCATAGATAGATCAACAAAGGTAAATTATTTGTTGTAATTCATTTCCAAATCAAGTAAGTGAAATTGCCGCGGCTCAGTAGTTTGCTATCACTGGTCTACCTCACCGACATCCACAACATTTAACTGGCCACCCAGCACTGGTAATGCCATTATTCTCCGGATCTGCCTCGACTGGTCAAAATTTAATCCACATTTGTTAACATTTTAGAAAACACCTCTGCCTACAGACTCAAACTGCCTTCAACATGCTGTCTGCCCATTTTCATTTCGCTGTCGTGTTGAAACGTTGCATAACTAAAACAATCACTTTTCAGGAACTACACAAACAGTTGGTTTGTTGAGCCATGAAAGGTGAAGTCAACCCCCCAAAATACTTTAACAGCGTGCCTTCACTAGTCTAAACACGGCATCCCAATTAATATTGTGCTTGTGTAATATGAATTAAGCAGCAAACCTCACCCATTTCACTCATTTCGGAAGGTGGCCATTTTGTCACTTTTGCCGGCTGAAAATCACGTCGCAGTTGCTCGTGGCTCAGGTAATGACCAGTCATGGCTAAGCTACAGAAAACAGGTGGGCCGTGATTGGTCGTTATCTGATCCCTGAGCGACTGTGATGTCATCAGTCGACCGCAGGTAGCAAAATGGCCCTCCCGTCAGATGGACAAAAACGGTTGGATTTTTACTGCTCAGATCATATTGCACAGACGCTAGACCAGTGGGGTTGCAGAAAACATATTCCCGTAAAGAAAATGGTTTGGTTGACTTCCCCTTTAATTGCATCGCCAAAGACTGCAAACCAATTTTTGACGCTCAGTAAATTGGCAAAGTATCAAACGTGGAGATTTATATAGCAGGGATGGACTGTATACATTTTGGACAAAAACGCATGAAGTCATTTCTGCAAATGGTGCAGAGAGTTGTTGTGCTATTTTGTCTGGTAGTCAGTTTATACTGATCATATCCAGAAGACAATGCCAGCACGATAAATTTGGTAAAAATGTCAGAACAGAAATGAACCAAGTTGGCAGCATGACGAATGGTAACTCTCTAGTACTTATGTTTTTATCATTTGCCTTTGTCTTTGCTGACCATGGTTTACTCCGCTTAAAATTGTCTTGATGTGAGGGGTGGGGGGAGCTGAGGGGTGGAGGGAGCAAAATTGACCAAATTTGAAAGTTCAGCAGGCAACGTCAATCTAGAGTTTGGTTTTAAACTAAAATGAGGAAATGTTTCTGTTTTTATTTAAAATAAGATAATCACATTTAATATGAAGCGTTAACATCTCAGGTCAGAATTTCTCATGTGTATTCAATGAAATGCATGCAACTTCTCATTTTGTCAACTCAAATAGGTTCCGCACTTGCTGACTTTTAAATTGAGAGGGACCCCACACACACAAGAAAAACGTGTGTGCTTAGTAAATACGGAGGAAATTTGCTCTAATTTGTACAGATTGTCTTTGTGTGCCCTTGCAAAACAATTTTGCTTTTTGCTAAACGTATGTGGAGGTACAGTAGTGTTTTTTTTAATCGGACATCATGCTTAGTCTACGTTCCCAGTGGGGGGAAAATGGTTCTCCAACTTCGCCTCGTTTTAGCTATGACCCTCTTAAATGTTAGACTCGTTTATTTCTCAGCTGTGTTTCGGTCTTGGTGGAGGTCTTCCGTTACGCACGCACGCACACACACACACGACTGAAAACTACGTGAACGCAAGACACGTAGCGACGGAACTGGCCAACTTGTTACGTGACACTGACTTTCAAACTCTCGTTTGAAAATAATAGGAAACAGTATTGAATTAAAACTTGGAAATGCAAAAACTAACATTTTAACATGCCTAATTTTTATGCAAGACAAAAATGAAAGTCAAAGTCCTCGTCTTTTGAGGATTCCCATCAAAGTCCTTTCCTCTGTGGCACTTTGAGTTCAATTTCTTGTGTCGTGCCTGTCGAGGGACGATGAACCTTCCTCATCCCCCAAAAGAATAATTGTAAGAAAAAGGAAAAAAAAGGAAAAATACAGGTGCTCGTCAAAAAATAATAATAATATGAAAAAGTTGATTTAGTTCAGTAATGCTATTTAAAATGTGAAACTTGTGTAATGCAAACATTCATTCTACACTGAATGACACATTTCAAGTGTTAATTCATTTAAATTAAAACGAGCACCTGTATCTTTAGATGCTCACTAAGATGGAGAATTGTTTCATGATAGTTTGACTTTCGAGGCTTTTTTGTTTAGATTTATTATCATGGGTCGGGCGTTTGGAACCCCATTAAGTTTTCAACTTGGCGTTCTGTGATGTCCCCCCAGACCGCCAGGGGGCAGTGCTGAGATCACGGAATATTTGGCGTTTCACTGTTGATTTTTCTTGACTTGATTTTCCTGAGATGGTAAAACTTGAAGTGAATTTTTTGTTTCGGTTTGTGTGCTTATTTCATTTCAAGGAGATGGCAAATAATGGTGCTGTCAACAAAAGAGACTTAATTTTCTGTTTACTAAATTGTAATTTTTGTTGTGAATTTGAATAATGTGAAAATGTTGACACTTGTTTCAAGTTTTATGAGGAGAACGTCGCTCAGTACCAGGTTGCTGCCAAAAAGTCATGTCAGGATTTTCTTGTTTTAATGTGAACTGCTGCGATTTTTGTTGTCATTTTTCACCTTGCCATTTCACAAGTTCTCATCACTACTCTTCCAAGAATGTTGCACACCAAACATTACATAACTGGATTTACTTGACTTTTTCTGCAGTGTTGTGTCACAAGTAAAAGCTACAGACAGTAGTGTTGTGTTTGTGTCATTAAAAAAAGTAGGATTTTGAAGTAGAGTTAGGGTTTCAGGGGACGTTTTTAAGTCTTGTTTCAAAGTGCCTCAAAGTTGCTGTACTGCTCGAACAGCTTCAACAACCGTTGACATAAAAAAAAAAAATCCAAAATACTGTCACGCCATCGTATGTGGTTGAAGGACTTTATAATTAAAACACAAGGGACTGCACATGCATTCATTCATTCGAGAGCACTTTCGGCCGGGCACAACTCAGGCCTGGTCACTGCAAACGCTGTCTGGTAAAAGTGAACATTCAAGTTTACATGTCCTGAGATGTTCCTCTGTATGACATCACAGCCACACTCATAACAAAGCAAACAAAACGCAACGTTTAGATTGGCACGCTTATTTACGAAGACCCCTACAAAGCATGCTGAGAAGTCACCGCATTGTCGCACATATTTAACGACAAATAATTCCGATTCCAATAAATTTCCGTTCTAATTTTGCAGTCAATTCAGCTCTGGGGTTGTGGGCAGGAGGGGGCGAGTCAGTGCAGTTGTAGTAGTAGGTCTTTATGTCAGCTTATTGCCATGACAACGTCTTTAGGCCTCGCTCTGATTGGTTGACAGTTTAGCTCTTCCGCAGGTAAGCACGAAGAGCGAGCTGAGGAGCACTTTCGCCACATACAAGGAGCAAGCGAGTACATGGAGCGCAAACGATTTACAGGTACGATACTTATGATCAACGACAGACGTAAAACATTCCCACGAGCGTTATAACTCTTCTTTTGTAACAGTCTCTTCACCGATGACGTGTGTAAAATCGTTTGGTTTTTCAATATAAGGAGTATTAATGACACTAAACGACAATTACGGAGCCTTCTACGGTATATCTCCATTTGTTAATATTGTCCTTGAGTATTGATTAAATAGGTCATTCCTTTTTAGTTTAATCCGCCCTTATAATCGTATTGTGGACACACTCAGCGGCCACAGCATTAGGTGCAAACCTTTACGAAGAACGCCAGTTAGAATTGTCTGGCTTTTGTTGGGGTTTTGACATTTGTTTTTCATATTTCCTGTAGCCATAGTAACCAAACATAGAAAGACCCCTGCGCCCGTGATCTCAATTAAAAAAAAAAATCGGCCACACACACGTCATTAAAAAAAAAAAAAAAAAAACTGAGCAATTGTCTGGTAAATTGACAATTTTATCCTAAGTAATTATCCTCTGGTGTGGAATGTGTGAAAAATGTTTTTTTTTTCCTCTGCGATGTGCTCAAGTAGATGTTTGGGGCTAACAATCGGAAAGTGGACTCCACACCAATAATGAGGCCATTCATATATCGACTGTTGCTGCTGAAACGATGCAATTGGGACTAAATAAAGGTTATTGAATGTAATCTAAATTTGAGCATTGCAGGCAATCAGATGACAATCACATCATCGGCTGTGTCGAAAAGATTATCCTGAGTGATTATCCTGTGGTGTGTTTTGAGTGACTTTTCCTCCCCGATCTACTCACAACGAAGGAAGGGGCCAACAATCACAAAGATAAAGACCTGGGTCAGTCCTTATCTTGTGTAATTCATCCAGACTACATACCCAAATGTCATAAATCATCTGGAAGCCACATTTATTTGCATAAACTGCATGGTTTAACTGTTATCTTACGTCCACATCCTGACAGCTGGCGGTTGCCTAGTGTGAACAATAATGTGCACTCTTTTCTATCCCAAGAGCTGAAAAGCAGCCAAAACTAGCGAGTACAAATCATCTTGAGTGCTACAGTCTGCTTGAATTGTCAAAGGGATTTAGTCGAAGTATAATACACACGCTGTGTGTGATGCAGGTGGGGTCTGTGAATGCGATCATGTTGAGGGCGATTAGGAGCAGCGTGTGTGTTGTAATCCAAGTCACACCGCCATCCTCTGCACAAACTACAGTTATCCCTCACCATATCGCAGTTCGCTTTTCACGCTGAACATAACACACGGTACGTTCATGAACTTGTACATGTCAAAACAGGGCACCACTGCCCGGGTGGCCACACGCAGCAGGAAACCACCAAGGACCACCTGAGTAACCATTGGGGCCTGTTAGGAAAATAACTAGTGATGAGACATTGTGATTTCCTAGTAATGTGGTAGGTCATTTGAAAATATAAACATGGGCAGAGATTTGAGCAAATAAAGTGTTGCATATTCATATTTAACAACCAACGCATCCATTTTCCAAACCGCTTATCCTCAGGAGGGTCACGGTGATATTTATCGGATTCCTAATCATTGTGGGAAATCAGTAACACGATCAATGTTTTCTCATACAGTCCCCTCCCAAAGTTTTTGGATGGCGAGGTCAATTCCTTTGTTTTTGTTGAATACGGAAGACATTCGGGTTTCAGATCAAAAGATGAAGATGAGACAAAAGTTGAGAAGTCCAGCTTTTCTTTCACGCGGTTGACATCAAGATGTGTGAAAGAACTCAGGACAGAGCAGCTTTTTGTTTGACGCCATCCACTTTTCAAATGAGCAAACGTTATGAAATGAACTTAAAATGATTGGCATTTAATATTTGGTGGCGTATGACGCTTACCTTACTTATAACAACTGCATTCAGCCAACGACCCATTGACCTCACCAGACTGTTGCATTCTTTATTTGAAATGTTTTTCCAGGCCTTTACTTTCAGTTCTTGTTTGTTTCTGTGAATAATCTCCCTTCAGTCTCTCTTCAGGAGGTGAAATGCATGAAGCCCGGCCTTCCAATTCTAGATGCTAATAAGTGGTTTGTATTTTGTAGTATGGCCTGTATATTTCTTCTCTCCAAGTCTTCGAACAGTGGATGGTGATACCTTCACACCCTTGCCCGTGGAGGTTGCCGCTGACTGTCGCCTTTGGGTGTTTTTTTGCAGCCCTCGCCATGTTTCTGTCATCGACTGCAGTTCATCCCCTTGGCCGACCTGTTCGATGCGTGTTGCTTAGCACACCCGTAGTTTCTTTCTTTTCCAGGACTTTGTTGTATTGGCTCTCGCCTTCAAAGATGTTGGTGACCGCTGATTTTTAAACCAATCTTAACCAGAAATGTTTTTGTGATGCAGAGTGACACTGCCATTTGGATAAAATGCCAAAGAGTGACACCTGGCCAGGTGGGACTGGACTGGATATGTTGGCTGGAGTGGACAGCGCGGGGAGCTGTGACAGCGTTGTCAGCGGACATTCCGTTTTCGTGAGTCTCCTGGTCTCAAAATTTTCAAAGCTGGAAAAACAGGACTGTTCCAAGTGGGGATATTCTTTTGCATTACAGAGTGATGATAGTCTGGGCCACTTGTCTGCTGAGGAGAAAGCCTGCCTCATGTTTTTGGAGGAGACCATCGAGTCCTTAGACACCGAGGACGACGGCGGACTGTCCGACAACAAAGTGGACCTCCTGCCCGGAGGCCCCGCCAGTCTGGCCTCCAGACTGGCGGACCTGTCAGCCTGCATGAGGAAAACCAAGCTCAACGGTGAGCTAATCTTCCTGGCAACAGTTGCCATTTAGCTGCCATGTACTCAACAAAACACGATACTAGCGCAGCCATTGCATATTTGATTACGAAGCCCGTCTCTTAAGGTTGTTGATCGGAAACGTGTCTGTTTTGTCATCGTTTCTGCCTGACCGCCGAGGGAGAGAGTGAGTCAACTTGGGGTTTTCTAACAAACACCTTGTGTCCCGCAGGTCTGCAAAAGCACAGCTCTATGGAAACCATCAGGGAAAAAGTCGAGAACAAACCCATCCAGAACTACCTTGTGCCAACACCTTACGTTTTGGCCAGCAGCTCAAATTGTTCTGAACCAAAAGTCAAAGCTGGCCTTCGGCTAAACCAAAAGAAGTCGTTTTCATTCGGCAACAGTTCCAGCCAGAAGCCCGCCGGCGTTCACGTACCTTCCGATGTCAATGTCAAGACACCTCCTGTAATCAAATCCAAAGACAACCTGGTGAAGACAGGCGAAAGGGGACCTTTATCCTATGATGCGCTTGTTTACCTGCGGAGGAGCGCCTCCACAAAGAAAACACCCTTATGTCCCACAGTCGATCACACCATAGACTTGGTCCGACGTCCTCCGGTCATCATAGAAAGTTCAAACACCGCCAACGTCGGAAGGTCCGACAAAGCCATCTTCGAAGCCGGCGGCTTTACGACAGGCCCGCTACCCGTTGCTCCAAAACCCAAAAGGATTCCTTCAAATATCTCCGTGAAGACGGAAAAGGAAGCGGCCCCTGCCTCAAACTCATCCCACGGTCTGAAGAACGCAACAGATCCTGAAGTGGTCAGACAGGAAGCTTTGCTGAAGCTCGGCCTCCTCAAAGACCCACAGTCAGAAACTGCTCGACTGGCCCGACCGCAGCTCCCGAAGTCTTACTTGTCTGCGGACGACAGATTTTCCAAAACTCCCTCAATCGTCGGCCCATTGAGAAGCCCCTCTTTTTGCCACGCCCCAGGGGCCCCTGCGCCCAGGAGCAAGGAGCTGCAGAGTAGTGCTAGTTTCCACCACTCATCCAGGAGAAGCGACGGATCGGCCACGTCGCTCCCCCATCCCGCCAAACCCAACAGATTGACCACTACCCTGCTCAACCACAAACATGAGATGAATCATCCCGAACCGAAACTCAAAACGGTCCTCGAGGATGAGCCGGCCGCCCCCAAAGCCTCAAATTCGGTGCCGTACACGGTGATGATGGTGCCCGGAATGGGTGCAGACAGAAAAGAGGCTCTCAGGAAATTGGGACTGCTCAGAGATGAACCACACAAGTAAGCAGAGCAGCGGACGGGAAGGATGAAGAGGAAGAACTTAAAGCAGCTCTTTCCATGCTCGGTCTTTTTATCTAGTTTTTTTCCCTCAACAGTGTCCTGTGTTGCGTTGCAGCTCAAGTAGCATTGATTGTTTGCCAGCAGAGCACTTAGGCTCCAAGGGAACGTTTACAGGACTTTTACATTCCTTGACAAATTCTGGATCCCTGCCTGTGCCTCAAATTGGACATCGGCTCAAGTAAAGGTTACAGCTTCTGATTTCAGTACTTCTGTTATCGTCTTAAGTTGGGTGCACACATTCTGATTTTTAACATCTTAGCCGTTTTTTTTTTTTTAATATGAGCGACCCTGTAAATATTGAACACATGTAGCATTCAAGAATTCAGCTCTGACCATGTTTTCCAAACAGATCAGTGAGGAAAAACAAATCCAAACAATACCTCACACCGATCATTCATGATCAATTTTTAATGAACATCTCAGTTCCCAAAAATCAGATTTTTCTGGCTATTCCTTGATGGGTCAGGCATTAAAGGGTTAAGAGACATCCAAAAATTGGGCCTTTTCTTTGATTTCAAGGGAGGGAAAATGCTCAGATTTGGACTAATTGCCAGTATGTGTCTTTCACACTGAAAAATAGAAATGACAATTTCTACCTTGTCTTTTTCACACACGGACAAGAAAAATAAAATGTTTGACTGCACGTACTGAGTAGTGGTTGACTTACAGGGCAGCTATGTGGTCGTACTACTCGTCTTACTCCAGAGTTATGCTCCTCTTGCATTATCAGATTAGCCAGAGCACGGCACGCCTGTTCACTTAGAGACGGACTGTCCTTTCTCTCTGCCCGCTCTTTCCCCTTTCGCGTGTTTGACTTTTAATTCCTTCCCTGCGTGGTTACGCAATGCCTCAATGGCCAATTGTTCCCTTTCGCGGTTGGCGCGATCACTGGCACAGGCGCAAGGCTCGGCCAATGGGGGTTGGAAAGTGTGTGTGTGTGTGTGTGGGGGGGGGGGGGGTTATCTGTGGCTTATATTTCCACGGCGAATTGGGGGTGTCAAATTCTGATACTTGACACGTCTTCTCTTACTGCCAACTCATATTCTACAATGGAGGATGAAATCAGGCCAAATTGTGAAATGTGAGATACCACCTGACAGGTTGTGGGCAATGTTTCTCCAGTTAACTTGAAAAAGTAATTTTGTTATTTTACTGATTACTTGATTTTGAGTTAGATTACCAGTTAATGTATTAGTTGCATTCAACATATGCTGGCAATCTCACTTAATTTAAGATTGACACCCGTGTTGGCCAATACTTAAGAAACGCATTTTAAACTTTAAAATAAGTTGTTTTTCTAATTTAAATTAAACTTTTTTTGACTTAATTCGGGTTTATTCAATTTGGTCCCAATGCATAGGTTGTCCCAATGCACTGAAACGAGACGAGTCATTGGATAAACGCTGGTTTTGTCCCGCCCATCGGATGCTCAGCGTCTCTGGGAGTCTATGGACAGTGGGCGTTTATCGGCTGGCCAGGGCGCTCAGCTTTTCTGCATGATGATTGGATGATCTGAGTCTGAATCTGTCTTGATTGACAGCGAAATGAGCCAATCACCGATCTTATTGTGAAGGCATCCTTTTCATTTTTGTTTTTTGAAAAGGAACGGAGAGTAGAATTCAAATTGTCAACCTCAGGTCCTGGAGGGCGGCTGTCCTGCATGTTTTCCAAGTCTCCCTGTTGCAACACACCTGATTCAAATGAACAGGTTCAATATCAGGTTTCCGCAGACCTTGCTGATGATCTGATCATTTGAATCAGGTGTGTTGCAACAGGGAGACTTTGAAAACATGCAGGATAGCAGCCCTCCAGGACCGGAGTTTGACACCTGTGATTTAGAGTGTTCCATTAATCTGCCATGCATGTTTTTGGAATGTGGGAGGAAACCGGAGTACCTGGAGAAAACCCACGTAGGCATGGGGAGAACCTGCAAACTCCACACAGGAAGGCCGGAGCGGGGATCGAACCCACGACCTCTGCACTGTGAGGTCGACGTGCTAACCACTCGGGCCGCCCGCATGATTTTCAATGAAGACAGAATGAGCATCACAGCATCATGAAAATGTTGTACATTGCGATACCAACATGTATATTATTAAAAACATTGTGACCTTTTCTTAGTGGAATGAATGCAAAAAATGATTTCAATGAAGCAAGAAGATTCAAATGTTTGGTGTACAGGTGCTTAAGAGTAATTTATTGTTTCAAACTAATGAGGTTAGTTGTTATTGGACAGATATACAGCACATGCCACTGTGGAAACAAAACATGCTGCTAGTTGTGCGCGATGATATTACTTTCATTCTTAATGCGATTTGTTTTTTTTCCGCTTCACCTTTGCACCGGACACCGGGACATTCAAGGATTCGAGGCGAAAGGGACGGGGCATGACGGAGTCCAGGCTCGGATTTGCGCCGTGGTGGGGTGGCCCATTCATGACGGAGGGGCTGTGGGCTGCTGTGAAAGAAGGCGGTCTTCATGACTGCAGGGTCATTGAATGCGGTCATCACCTGCATGATTGCTGGTCACCTATTGGCATTTTTTGCGCTTTTTGAAATGCTTGACGATTCGCCCAAAACCGTTTAAAAAAAAAAGCAAAGTTGGACAGTATTGTGCAAGTGTGTACATCCTCAACCGGGAGATAGCTGGATTAAGAATTAACCAGTCACTTACAGCACACAGCAGTTAAAGCACCTCTGATTTACCCCAAATACTTTTCGGGTGCTCTAGTAGGCTTTTGACAATTATTTTTTATTTTTACAGAATGAGAAGCTTGAAGCTTCTGTGCTTATACTGACTGATATTTAGAACTGCTCACAGTCACCTTGGCCCACACAACTTTTTCCCCCCCTAGATAAACACACGAAAAAAAAATGTAAATAAAAATCAGGCTCCAGAGCCAGGTGAAGAATAACATCCTCAAAGTATGATTCTGCCACCACCAAGCTAAAATGAAAGTGTTGTTTTCTTTTGGTTGTGAGTCGTGTTGTGTTTATGCCAAATATGCCTTGACCAAAAGGTCCAATTTTGCTTTGATTGGACCGTGATCAAACCTCCCAAAGATGTGGGGAAAATGTGTTTGGTCACATCAATGATGGAACAGGCCTCTTTGCACAGGGGTGTATAAAAATATATGTTGTAAAATTAGCCGGGCTTATTCGTGGATGTTACAGAGTCTTTGCCGCATGAGTATTATTATCCTTACTTCTGCTTCAAATGAATCAGTAACCAATTTCAGGGAAATGTCAAATGAGTAAATATTCAAGTGTTTTTTGGATTACAGTTTGCCGTTCAAACTATTAATAGAGGATGTTGTAAAATTTGTTTTAACTCTTTCATTCCACAAGACGTACTTGTACATCTAATTCTTTTTTTTGCTCAGAGAGGAGGAGGGTCTGATGCAATCTGTGAATGAGAATAAGCCGTTTGCATTGTAAATCATGTCAAAAAGCGACCAGTAGGTGGCAGTGGTGCCTCACGTGCTTGAAATGCATGCTTTTACAAAAAGCTCTTTTTCTCCGTTTTTTTGCCCAGGAATCGCCATTTTCATGAAACTTAGCCATTTTGTAATGCCGATTGCTGAAGAATGCAAAAAGATAGAAACAAAATATTTTTTTCTGTCGAAACCTTATTTTGGTAGGCTTCATGTTTATATAGCATTGGAACCAAATCTTTTGTGGGCCTTGCAGGATCAGTCAAAATTCAGTAAAACGCTGGGATTGAGGGGGTTGCTCCAGTGAAAATGGCTGGGATTGAATGAGTTAAGGATTTGCTAATTAGTCAAAGCTTTTCACTACTCACGGCTAGCAACTCACGTATTAGCGGGACATTACCCTGTCCAATCAAAAGGACGACAGTGTCCCAAAAAAAAAAAAAAACCTCACCGTGACCCGTGGCTGTTTCACCCCCACGCAGCTGGTTGGCCCTCTTGCATCTGAAGTAAGCGTTGGCAATGTTTTCACTGTCGCTTCGGTCCAGGAGCTCTTTGTAGCGGTCCTCCTCAACCTGCTGGGGAACACGCGGCTGAAACGGGGAGGGGGGACAAATGGCAAACTCATGAGGATGAGGATGAAGCCATGCCAAAAACCTACCATGATGTCTTTGGCATCGGCTGCCAGGACTCTGGGCGGGGAGAGCTTGGAAGGCACAGCTAAGTGAGGAGGACACCAGGAACATGTTCAAATTGGCATTTAGTACCGCCGTAAAAAGGCTATAATATGGAAAGTCCCACCTGAGGGCAGTGTGGTTCTCTGGATCGTCACGTCGGGAATCCTCCAGGCAGCGCTCTCCTCGTCCCATGCGGCCTCTCTCTTCAGGCGCTCCAGGCTGCTGTAGTTGCAGTCCCGGCGAACGAGCGGCGCCATGCGCTCAAGCAGACCTTGAAGCAGCTGGCCCTCGCGCTCCAGGCGACGAATGGTCACGAGGTAATCGTTCCTCTCCTCTTCAAACTCGGTCTGCAGGTCACGAATCTCTAATTTGGCTGCTTTCAGCTGCCGGAGGAGAAGATGGTCTTTTCATCTTGACACGTGATACAACTCAAGTACGTAGGTCATAGATCTGACACAAAGTATTAAGAACCAACACAAGATAATCTCGCTAAATTTTGATTGACATTAACGTAGATGTGTTTTGAACAGCAACATCTTTGTTTTTAAAGGGGAAGTCAACTCAAAACATTCATTGACAAGAAGATGTTCCATGTGCCCCCACTAATGTAAACACAGAATTCAGATTTACATTGTCTTGGTGGAATATGAATTAAGCAGCAAAATCCACCCGTTTTAATCCCTCTTAGAATTTGGCCATATTGCCACTTTATGTCACCTGAAGAGGAGACTGAAGGGAGAAACCCCCACAAACAAACAAGAACTGTCACAAATTGCATTTGTAATGTTTTGGCGACCGTGCACGTATGTGATGGCACTGTGACCGACCTTTCCCTGGACCTTGAGCAGCATCTGGCCTTTGGCGTGGACCTCCTCCTGAATGGAGTCGTAGACACTGAACAGCACGTTGTCGCTCTCCTCGCTGTTGTCCGACAAAGCTTGAACGAGCTGAGCTTTCCTCTGATCGGCCACCTTCCTCCTCTGCCGCTGCCTCTGCTGGAATTCTTTATTACGGGCTTGCTCGCCGCCGACCACCTCCTGCTCCAGCCTCTGAAGCCTGCACAAGAAACAAGGCCTCCATTTTAAGGCCCTTTTTTCCCCTCATCATGTGACTGTTGCAGCCATCTCGTTACCTCTGCGTCCCGCATCCTAGACGCATAATTTTCCCGCGGGACACACAGTTCCAAATAATGTGTGTTTTTGGGACACACGGACATTTCTCAGACAAAAAAAAAACTACGGTACATCTTTTTTTCCAGTAACGATCCCAGTTTGACAATCACCGCCACTGTTGTTTTCATCTTGCGTTAAGTAATCTCGCATGACAAGATTTCTGTTCTCGCGAGACGAGATTGGCGAGATCGGCAGACGATTGCCAAGTTGTGTAACATTAAAACAAGTGTTGCGAAGAAGTGCTGCGAAAGTTTATTGCGGAAATGTCAGAGGAAGCAGTTAAAGTTGATTCGTTTTTTGCGATAAGTTGACTTTGAGAAAGCCTTGCATCTTTGGAAGCAGAGTAAAGAGAGGAGAATTTATG